AGATGGTTGGATGGCATCACTGATGTGATGGACATTAAGTCTGAGTAAGCTCCGGGAGTTGGTGACAGACAGGGAAGCCTGGTGTGCTGCAGTCCCTGGGGTCACAAAGAATCGGACACAAGTGAGCGACTGGAATGAACTGAACTGAAAGATGTAGTTGAAGAGTCATTAACTGTTAAATCAATGACCAGCTGCTTGAACGGCAGTTTAAGAACCATCTAAACTCCAGATTTCCTTATAAAAGTCCCCCAGAAACTGCAACAGAGTGTATTAATAATGACTGTAAATCCAGTGGATTCCAAACCAAACTTGACAGGAGCCAGCTGCAGTCTTAGCTGATCCAAGGGGCAGTCTAGGGCTCCTGTCAATGGTGGAATGTCTCAGTTTCTGGAGGGGTGCTGACCACGATCTAACAAGACCCATCTTACAGAAATCCTACTGAATCATTTTGGCTCAGGGTGATTAAGGATGCTTTCCACTCTTTCCTTAATGCTTTTTCCATTTTTTTAAAATAGGTAATTTATTTTTGGCTGCACTGGGTCTTTGTTGCTGTGTACGCTTCTTTCTAGTTGTGGTGTGGGGGCTTCTCGCTGTGGTGGCTTCCTGTGTTGCATGCTCCAGGGCACAGGGTTTTCCTCAGTTGCAGCATGTGGGCCCAGTGGGTGGGCTGAGTGGGTTTGGCGTATGTGGTGCACTGGCTTAGCTGCCCTGCGGCATGTGCAACTCCTCGGACCAGGGCTTGAACCCGTGGTCCCCTGCACTGGCAGGATTCTTGACCACTGGGCCACCAGGGAAGTCCAGCCTTTTCTATCTTTTAATTGGAATATAAACTGGGAAGAACTACAATCAGATATTACTCCCACCTCTTTTTTTTTTTTATTATACATACTTTAGATTGCAGACTGAATACAAATATTGATCAGAAGCCAAAAAGCCCCAGACATTTCTTATCAATTCAATCCAGGCCAATCTGTCTTTCAACTCTGCATTTTTATGTTCTTGCCTCACCACTTACTAAAATAAATACATGAATAAATAGCAATCCAATTCAAATAAGCATCTTTCATCTATAATTATCTGAAGTAAGAGATTTAAAGAAGTGTAGAGTTAATCCCTCTCACCAATCGCATCTTCAGTGCCTGTTCAGTCATGCCTGAATGTCTACATTCAATTTACAGAGAATATAAACATACAACACTGTAGAGGGATGTTTCTGGCCAATCCCGTTTTAGAGGGACAAAAGGTCAAACAGTCCCTTTGCTGTTTTGTGACAGAGTCTCTGGGCTCGGTCAGAGGCTGGGAGAGCTGTGTCTAGATCTGGAATGGATCACTTACACAATTAAGTTCTTGTCAGACCCTCCTAACCATAGCTACCCGCCACCAAAAAAAAAAAAAAAAATTGATAGCACAAGTTCCCCAGGCAAGAGGATAAGCGGATGGAAAGTAACTATTTTTCTCCTCCTACTTCAAAATTTGAAACAAGAAAGGGAATTAATGATGGAAAAAACATTTCTGACTTTTAGAATACATTCTTACTTGAGTTACTATTCTGAGGAAGTGTTTGGAAATCTTAGGAAAGCAGAATCTGATTTTTTCCCTCATTGGAAACTGGTTACTCAAGAGAAAATAAACACCCTCAGATCACCTTTTAACTCACAGATTAAGTCCTGTAAGAGAATAGACCGTCCTTAACTATTAAATCCATACCTTTATTCATTATACACAGAATTATACAATGTTGTTTCTGTGTAGAATCTGGATATTCACACATAAGCTGACAAGTTAACATTTAAAAGTTTTTTTCCATCGATGCTGCCTGCAAGCAACAGTTTAGTTTTGGCATTCCCCCGCCCCCCGCCCCCCATTTTTTGGACATGCTGCAAGGCACGTGGAATCTTGGTTCCCTGACTACAGATGGAATCTGTGCTCCCTACAGTGGAAGCACAATCTCTCAAGTACGGGACCACCAGAGAAGTCCCTAGTTTCGGCTTTTCACCATCCTTGTCAGACATTGGTACCTGCTGTTTGTTCGCTTATTGATAAAATATAAGTACTGAGTCAAAGATGGGAAATTACTAGGCTGTTATATAAGTGGCAAATGTTTGGCTTCAACCAGATACTCATTATGTAATCAACTGTGAGAGAAAAGAATGAATAAGTGTGACAGTTTGGAAATATACTTCTGGAGACTCAAAAAGATAAGGAAGAATATATGTTTGATGCCTTGAGAAGGAACCCTTTCCACCTCACATTCACACACACTGAACACACTTAAGTCTACTGTTAAACGACCTTATTATATGTTATCAGAGACCAAGTATGTACTAAAAAAAAAAATCTAAAAGTCAGACTCTAAATCAATTGTTAGTGACTATGTCTAATAGATTCATAGAAGATTAAGAGACAGATCCTTAGAACTGACCTACTTTAACATGATAGCTCTGCAGCTCAAATAACTGGGGGCCACAAGAATGATTTTACTTGCCTAAAGCTCCACAGTGAAGCTAATGGTGGCACTGGGGCCAGAAACTGGGGTTTCTCTCATTCAGTATTCTATCACTGTTCTTTTTGATGCCCAGCCATCATGTTAATTACCATCACAATTCTATCTGGTTCCTCAAAAATCACTGCAGGTATGATTCCTAGCAGCCTTGGAAACTATTACTGCATCCAGGTTTCAGGCCTGTGAATATTTTTGATTCTTGCTCCACAAAATATAATATCAAGACTTAAATGCCAAATCAAATTAACTGACATCACGAATGTTTTAAAACAGTTTCTCTATTTTATCTTCCAGGTCTAAGGCTATCATCTTTTCAGAAATGCCTCCTCTAGCAAGCTTATCTATGATTGTCCTATTCTTTATAACTTTTGCACATGCATGTGTGCTAACTTGGTTCAGTCATGTCTGACTCTTTGTGACCCTATGAACCATAGCCCACCAGGCTCCTCTGTCCACGGGGATTCTCCAGGCAAGAATACTTGAGTGGGTTGCCGTGCCCTCCTCCAGGGGGTCTTCCCAACCTAGGGATCGAACCCATGTCTCTTAGTCTCTTGCATTGGTGGGCTAGTTCTTGAACACCAGTGCCACCCTGGAGCATAGGTCACATTTTGAAACAATACATTTGTTTACTTATCATTGGAATATCTTCTCTAACAGACTGTAAATTCCATGAAGGCAAGGGTCAGGGCACTACTGTTTATTTAGCAACTAGCACAGTTTGTGGCATTTAGAATAAGCTCAGATAATATTTGCTGACTAAACAAATGAATTTATCTCACTATCCCATAGTTGAAACGAGTCATATGGAACCCATAATTGTCCCTTTTATGCTGTCCCAAGGCTTCCCAGGTGCTCAGTGGTTAAAAAAAAAAAATCCACCAGGTGATGTTGGAGATGTGAGTTCAATCCCTGGGTTAGGAAGATCCCCTGGAGAAAGAAATGGCAACCCACTCTAGTATTCTTGCCTGGGAAATCCTATGGACAGAGGAGCCTGGAGGGCTACAGTCCATGGGGTTGCAAAAGAGATACAACTTATCAACTAGACAAGAACAACCCAAACTTGGTATCTAAGCCCAAGGATTAAAGTTCCAGGGAAGCAGATTTTAGCTCAGTAACAGCAACCAATTAGATTCAGAAATGGAATGAGCTGTTTTGTGGGGTACTGAGCTCTTTGCCAAGAGGCTGCCAAGGTATACAGATCCCACTGCTTTAGGCAGAAGTTTTGACCCTGACAACATCTTAGTGTCTCCTATGACTTCCAACTCTAGGTTCTGCAGTTCTTTCCAAATGTTTGATTTTGAGTTAGGTGCATACAGTGCATACAGAAATTCATTAGGAAATAACCTAAGATAAGTTATCTAATGAGACTGAGAAAAATAGATTATTCACACATGCATGCCTTTTTACAATTATTTGATGCATATGAATTCTGAGTTCACAATTTGCCGTAAGTCCATGTACCTGTATGTCAATGAAGACTAAAAATAGAGTTAAAAAAATCTGGGTAGCATTTTATGGTTTTAAACACACACACACTTTTATATAATTACTATATCAAGTCTGTGAGGAAAATTATACCTGAGCTTATACAGGGTAAGTGGCTGATCCAAACTCATAAATGTACCTGCTAGAACCGTCAGGACGCAAACTCCCAAATCAGTGATCTTCTCACTCTAATATGCTCTCTAATCACTTTCTGACTCCAAATTATCCACCCTTTAGGTTTAGGTATATATCCTCCTCTTGGATGAAAAATACCTTTCTTCCAAATTCAATGGGAAAAGGCCAAATGGAATTTAAAAACCTGTTTCTTTTCTTCCATAGGTATCAAGAATCTCCTTTATTGATTATCAGAAACATTACAAACATCTAATACAAACTGTAACATGACAGTGATTAGTTTGAACAATTAATACATCTCATTAGTTTTTATACATAAGGATCAACAGTTATTAAATGTGATTTTTTTCACACAGTCTGATGAAAAATATTTCAATTGACAATAGCAGCTTTCTTAACTCAAGATTCAAAAAAGGAATATTTTCTTCTTTAGTAAAGCACTGAGAATAAGATGGGAATTTATCACAAGTTAAATGGCAAGGGAGAAAAGGTCCAACAGCATTTTATTTTTAGCCAGTAGTTTCTTGTCAAAGGTCATAGAGAGCAGTGGTCTATGATTAAAGACAAAGGAAAGTAAATAACGTCATCCCATCCTAGAGTTTGAAGGGACCTTTGAGACCATCTAGTTCAATTTCTTCTCTTTTTTCTTAGTTGACGCAATAGCTTTGAGATTTTATTTGCTATAAATACCTATTGAGAGTTCATGTTTCCAAGAAATGCCTTCAACCTTCTAAGAAAATCATGATCACGTGTATTTTTCCAGCATCTTCTGGCATGACAATTACATGTGGAAAACTTTTGCAATTTTGTTCTCCTATATGCATATTCATGTGCAATACCTCTGGCACAGGGTGGTTTTCCTTAGTCAGTCTTCCAGCTACAAAAGACACGAATGAGTAAATCTTGGAAAAGGGATAACATCCTTGATATTGTCAATTCCCAAGATGCACTGCAGATAGCGTTCAAATCCCATCCCAAAACCTCCATGTGGCACAGATCCAAATCGACGGAGGTCCAGATACCTGATTTTGAAAAACAGAGTATCATTACCTATAAATGCTTCATTTAAGATCAGATGTTATGATAGAATATTATGTTTCAAAAGTATCTTGCAGTCATTTGTGCTCCTCACATCACTGTGGCAGACCAGTCTTTTCACCTTACAGACAGAGGAAGGACACAGAGGAGTTAGAGTGATCTGTCCAAGATTATAGAGACGAAACAGCAGCAAATCCTGTCATGCATTCATGGGCTTTGGTCACATGATCCTAATTTTTTGTTTATTGGATACTTATATACAGAAAACTTGTCTCCTTAGGCTACAGAAAAATTCCTAAGAACTGTATTATTTTTCTTTAAATACACTCCTCTTCTGTTTCTTAGTATATCAATGATAATGCTCTTTTTTTCTTATCAAAATCATATTGTTCAATATATAGAAGAGGGTGAAGCAGTTTGCCTGATGTATTACCAAAAGAGATTCCCTTCCTACTAGTCTGTACGCTACATCAAGGGCAGGAACTGCATCTTACTCAACCTTTATCTCCAGTGACTACCCAGAAACAGATGCTTACTACGTGGAGAGTTATTGTTTGAAGGCATAATAATATACTCTTGAGGACTGCAGTGAGGAAAAACTTCAACTCCTCTGCTTTAAGCCTGGTGGAAGATGTCCAGAGTCATTTTTCTGAAAGGCTACACAGCCTCTGAAGTCCATCCATGCATGTTCTACTCCCACATTAAGACTACATGCTAGAAAATGGTACATTCAGGATTCAAACTCAGATTCCAATAAATCAGCCCGGGATACAGTTATTTTATGAAAGGAAGAGCAAGAAGATGACTCTATAACTCTTTTAATTATTTCATTTGATGGCAGGAATTCCTGAATTATACAATACAGATTAAAATAAATTTATAGTTTCTTGAATGACTTGTAAAATATATAAACATACAGCATAAAACTTAAACACCACAGCTGGCAGTCATTTGGCTCTTTAAGAATAAAGACTTTAACCTATTCCCCCACTATTAATAACAATAACTACATGTATTGGTATTTTAGCTAATTAAGTACTTCTCTTTCTAAAATAAAAAACAAACTACAACTAGGTGAGTTACAACCAAGTGAGACATCAATAAGAAAGAAGTTATCTAGGATAAAACCTGACATTAGTAAGCACGATCAGGAATGATGGAAGGAACACAGTCTTGAGTAACTGAAATGTTTTGGTAGCTAAATTAACTTTAACTTTATAAGGCATGGAGGCAGAACATACTTTGATTTAGTGAGAAAATGAGATGAAAGGCATATCATACCACCTGCCACAAACACCTGCAGCATCTGAGCTGGCTGCTAAAAGTCCAGTATCCAGCTTTAGCTGGCTTTAAATTTCTCATACACAGATGTCAGAACACTGGCATAAATACCTGGAAACTGAATTCAGAAGAAGCAGTCTGCCTGTAGTATTTTTCTTACCTTTGCTTTGATAGATGGAAAGATTTATGTCTAAAAATAAGTTTTCAAAAGAACCTGTATTTGTTTGATTGTTGCTATACTGGTTCTATAGAAGAGATGGTAAAAAAAATTGTGGAACTAGTTACAGATTTCATTTGCATGGGGCATGTAGAAACGGGAACTGAAAAAATTCTTAGACACCTGGGGTAGCTACACATTCAGTGTGGTAGAACACTAGCATAGATCACAGACTTGAAGATTTTTAAGGTCATTTCTACCTTTAAGATACCATGATTACCATATAAAAGGAAGCAGATTCCAGCTGTTAAAAAATAAAATTCAATGAGTAAACTTTAAAAGTCTTTATTCTATGATTCATCAATCAGGCAGGATCCCACCTAGCAACAGAAAAGAACTCTGAAGAGCTCTACAAAATGATTTTAGGCAGAAGGGGGCAGGACAAGGAAGTTAGTAGCAAAGAGTGAGTGGTTTCAGGCAAGGTCATCTTCCTTTAGGAGATGACAGGTGTCCATCAGGCAGATGACCTCACTAGTGTTGACCAGGTAATTCTAGACTCTCTGGTTCAAGATTCGACCTCTGGGAGATGTTGAAATTATAATGAAATCAGGTATTGAGTCTCAGTTTGGGGATGTGAGCTTAGCACAAGTGACTTCATTTTGGGCCTGTTGTCTCTTAAAATAATAAATACTTATATTTAGAGATGTTAAGAATTTGAAAACTTTAGTTGGGAAAAGAGTAGTATTGAAATGATTAATAAAGACCAGAAAAAGTCTAAACCAATGATTAAGATATATCTAGTTATATATATATAGAGAGGTAGTTTTTATATACTATGAATAACATCTTGTAGACAGAAAATAAATTGAGGTAAAATGCGTAAGCGTGACAATCAGGTTCATCAACCTAATAGCAAAACTCAGCACTAAAGGAGGAAAGGCGGAAGGAAATTAAACTAAACTTTTACTCTGTGTAGACACTTAACTTATTTTGCTTCATTTTATCCTCACAAAAATCCTGTGAAGTAGATATTACCATTCCATTTTATAACCAAAAAAACCAAGGCTCAGAGAGATTAAATATGCCAAAGTTCATTACTGATAAATAAAGCAATCAAGGGCCATTACTTGAACCCAATTTCAGGCTTTTTGCATCTCTGAAATCTAGCTCCATTACCAAAAGGCAAGTGTGTAATCTGACCTTTCCCTCTGCTGAGGACAGCAAAAGAGTTAATAATATGGTTGATACTATTATACAAGATCCTGAAAGACATTTATTACAGAAATATGAATAAATAAATAAGTTGTATATACTGAAAAGTACTTGAAGAAGGGATCTGCGGAAAGAACTCCAGAACAATTTGGGAATGCAGAAATATGATCTTCCCTAAGCAGCTTAGGTGGTGGAGCACCTACAGTTGGTGGAGGCCCCTGGGATCACTTAGCTCAGCCCCTAATTTCACACATAGAGAAAATGAAGCATAATGGTTAAGAACAAAGTCCCAGTTCTATGCTTCTGTGTGCTCTTGATTAAGATAGTTAACATCTCCAGGTCCCAGGCCTGGAAGGATAATAAAAAGGGATTAAGAATGGCACCTAACTCAGGGGGTATTGTGATGATTACACAAAACAATATCCATCAAAATTTTAACATTATTATCTGGCACACAATTGGTAATATAAAAATGACAGATTTTTATTATTACTACTTTTCAGAGATTCAAAGGGAATAACTAACCTCAGAACCTGTTCATTGTTTTAATCCTCTTCTATAGCACCCTGGAAATACAAGTGAAAACTATGTAACACTCAGATCCAGAACCAGAACAAGAGTTATCAGGGGTCATGTTCTTACCATTGGTAGGCTTCTGTCAGTCCTAATCTGTAAAATGAAAATAAGAAAATTCTTTCAGAGAATGACAATACGATCAATATACTAACCACCAGACACTTATTCTGGGTTATGTGCAAAGTGCTGTTTATAAAGAAGTAAATACCAAAACCTGTGCTCTTAAATAATAATATATAATACAGTTGAGGAGCTGCACCTTTATTAGGTGGTAAGAAAGGTAAGAAAACCAGTATTAGGAAAACTAACAGTCTAATATTATCAAATGACAAATGCTGTGGAAAGAAAGCATGGTCCAGAGCCCAAGAGAGAGGGTTCATATGAGATAAACTTATTGTCCTGTGACATAAGAAAACCACTATTACTACTTCATAATGATGTCTAAAGGCACACCCAGACAAGGGATGTACAGACACAATTTTCTTTCCATTATATTAAAATAGTTAAAAATACTAAATAATACTAAAAATACTAAATAATAATATAGATTCTGAGGCTGCTTTATAATTTGGTTGCAAATTGTTTTTTTGCCAATTTGAGAAATGTTAATAAAATTTAAAGTTCTTAGTACTCATTAAAATTAATTTCAGTCCTTAAAAGTATTTGGGACCATGGCGCATCTCAAAGTGATCAGGATTATGAAAAATTCAAATATGCAAAAATATGAAAAACATGATAGAAGTCAAAGACAGATCCTGGAGATAGGGAAACACATATATCCACTTAGTTAGGAAAGATAAATTTGGATATTATCAGATATTAGGTAAACATTTAATGTTATGAGGAAAGGTTTCCTGAAGGAAGGAAGCAAGTACAGAAAACAGACCAATTAATCTTTCAACAGATGAGATTTCTTGCCATGTGTGATTTTTATTGTGCTTTGAAAAAAAACCCCAGAGAATCTTCAAATTCTTTCCATCTAAGGAGTTTTACTGTCACTTCAATTCCACAATTTCCCCAGAACTTCCTAACACTATAAAAATACTAAGGAGTTAGTAGTCTAGTTGATAAAAAAGTCTTCCCAGAACATATTTATCCCCTTTCTTCTGGATGCTAAACCAAACGGAGCAGTTCGGATGACTGGGATTACAAAACCAAGTTACTCAACAGATTTATAAGTTGGGATCTTGGAAAAGCAACAACTTTTTAAGCACTTCTCCATTAGGAAGAGAAGCCCTTACAAATGGCTAATTTAACAAACATGTCAAACAATCAAGACTTTTCCAGGTTACTATGAAACCTAGTATTATCTGGAGAGAATGATTACGCCTTCAACATGGGAAAGTCTTTTTTTAAAAAAAAGTCTGGCACAGTAAAAGTGGAAACCATGGAAAACACAGGTTTATAACCTTGGTTAGTTTAGGAAGTCATTGTGGTTTTTTGGCAGACCATGCACATACAGGAGTGGTAGTTCAATTAGAAACATGATTCCCCTACTTCTCATCTCCAAAACATTTTCTGTGTGTTTATGGATACATTTCCCAGGTCTCAAACAGTGAGTTAAAGTTGTTCAAATACTTAAATCAAGACACTTACATAGTAGAAAACCTGAGGAAGGGAAAACTGCTTATTCTAAATGCTAGCTTAGCAGATAATTTTAGTTTCTTTCTTCCTCCATCTTTATCCTTTCCCTGGTTCAGAGCCTGTCTGCACGATTTAGTTTAAAACCACACACACCCAAAAACCCAACAACTCCTTTTCCCCCAAAACACAGAGAAAAGGGAAGAACAAACTTTAAGGGGCCTTAGTTGCCTTTCCTTTTTCTATCACTAACTTTTAAAAAAGCTATTTCTATAGGGAGAGAGATATACAAGTAGTGGGCAAAAAAAAAAAAAATCATTGTGTTTCATATAACAGTTCTATGCTTTCAGAAAGAGAAGCTCAGAGAGGTTAAGTAACAACTTGCATAAGTTCACACAGAATCTGAGATTCAGGTCTGTCAGGTAGTAAGATCTATGTACTGTTCTGTTAGTCTGCCATTACTGCCTTTGAGTGTCCCATTCCCATTTTTTAGATTCATTTTTTCTAGTTCTGACCAGTACCTGGCCAATCGCTGTTCTAAGAAATGGCACCGTTCCTCTCTGAGGCTTCCTCCAAAGAGTTCTCCAACTCCGGGAACCAGAAGATCAACAGCAGAAACCTGAAAAGGAAAAAACTCATGAACACCATTCCGTTTTCAGACCATCCCAACAATGTCAGCTTCTGAAGCAAGTGGAACTTACAACATTTTGATGACTGGCTGTTTAACTGCTTACAGTTAATCAGGATCTTATTTATGTTAGCTGTTCATGTCCCTTCTTTTAATACTAAATGTTTAATTATTATCTTTAGAATATAAAATGCAGCTGGACAGTTCCCCCTCTGGCACCATTAATATGGTATGCTTAACAAAAATATGTTTTCTGCACAAATGTGGTGTAAATGTTAGTCATAAAAAATGTGGAAAATATTAATAATTATAAAGATATTTTAAAACACCTATCATCATGCAGAAGCAATTACATGTTAGTGGATTTTCTTTCAGGTTTTTTCCTTGTATGCTTAAAGAGTATAACAGAGATCAAATTACATATAAAATTTACCATTCTCATTATCTTAGCCAACATAATACAATAAATATTTTTCCTATGTTAGTAAAAATACTTCACATACTTAATGTTTTAATAGCTGCACAGTTTACTGTTTAGAAATATAGTTTATTTAACAGCTTTCTGTTGAATATTCAGGGTGTGTGTGTGTCTTTCATAAATAATGTGGCAATGATGTTCTTCTTTAATTTGAAGTATGTTAGTACATGTAAAATATGCTCTGATTGTTAATCAAATTAAAAAAAAGAGATAACACTTTGGTGTTATCAAAATGGTAGAGATAAACAATATAAACAAATATGGATTAGAAAATGCATAAACTAATACTCTCATACCTCTGATACAACCTTTCTGGTCAGCAATTGGGCAAAAGATAATCAAAAGCTTTAAAAGTGCAATTTGCTTTGACTCAGCAATAGGAGTTCTTGGAACTAGTTCCAACAAAATCAGAGATGCAAAAAAAAAGAAAAAAAATTCAACACACAGAATATTTACTACAGTATTGCTTACAGTAACAAAAAATTCAAGTGTACATCAAGAGGAGACCATCAGATAAATTTTAGACATGGAAGAAAAAGGACTGACATTTATAATACATAATGAGGTGTAAACTGTATTGCTATGATTTCTTTTCTTTTATTCCTATTTTCTTATTTTCTACAAGAAAGGTGTTATACTTTTGTAATATAACAACAAAAAAATTGTAATAGGGTAAAATGGTGGCTTGATATTTTAACTTGTATTTCTTCACTTACTCATAATATTTACATTTTTGAGGATGTTTATTTGCTATCTATATTATTTTTTGACTTGGCAATTCTTCTTTGCAAGTGGGGGAGGGGGAGGACGAAGAGGTGCCAGGTAGACATTTATATGGCCAGTAATAAGAAGGCACAAAACTCAGAAAGATTTAATTTACCAATAAAAATTAGGAATCCATAGAACACATTTAATAATATATAAAACATCTAATCTTTAAATGTACCTTATATTATAAACTCTTTTCTTAAATTTGCCTTACTTTAATATTAAGTCATTCCCTTGTTTTGATTTCAGAATTTTTGACTGAGGTATACTTTATAAATAACTAGTTTAATAAAGACTGTAATAATTTAAGAATGTGTGCCAAATGCTATATAATCCTCACTAATATCATTAAGAGAAAACATGAGCTGTGATTTTCATCACTCAGCCGAATTAAATTGAGACAGGACAGAAATTTACTAATGGTTCCTAATTCTACAGAATCTCCTACTACTCAATAAGCTGGTGAGGAATAAGTGTACAAACAGCTCTTTTTCACACTACAACTGCAGGGTGACTACATTTTACATTATTATGTACTAGTATTAAAGGAAGAAGACTGTCCTACAAACCATAGGAAATGTATTTGTGGTTTAAGCCTCTACGAGCTTTTGGCTCTAACAGCTGACTCAGACAGTATCTGGCCCCTAAAAACACTGGGTGCAGCTGGAAAAGAGAGCCTTCCAGAAGTGACAGTGTGAAGGTGCAGATGGGCTGCAGGTAGCAAGGAATGAAAATCCCCTTTGGATAGTAAAATGGCTAGTCTGGGGAAATTTTAGATGTGCTGAAATGCACACTTTTTACTTTGACATAAATTCTCCAGGTATGGGCAAAACTGGAAATTTCCTTCATCACTTTGAGGCTTGATTTGAGGCTCAAGTTATTTTGATGCAGTTCGATTCACAAGCCCCAGCAAGGGAAATTCATTAGATACTCCTTGGTATTTAAGTCCTAAAAGATAATGCTCTAAATTTGGAAAATTTATCAGTGGCCACAGGACTGGAAAAGGTCAGTTTTCATTCCAATCCCAAAGAAGGGCAATGCAAAGAATGTTCAAACAATTGCATACAATTGTGCTCATTCACATGCTAGCAAGGTAATGCTCAAAATCCTTCAAGCTAGGCTTCAATAGTACATGAACTGAGAACTTCCAGATGTATAAGCTGGATTTAGAAAAAGCAAGAGAGTTCCAGAAAAACATTTACTTCTGCTTCGTTGACTACACTAAAGCTTTTGACTGTGTGGATCACAAAAAACTGTGAAAAATTCTTAAAGAGGTGGGAACACTAGACCATCTTACCTGCCTCCTAAGAAACTTATATACAGGTCAAGAAGCAGTAGTTAGAACCAGACATGGAACAATGGACTGGTTCCAAATTGAGAAAGAAGTATGTTAAGGCTATACAATGTCACCATGCTTATTTAACTTTTAAGCAGAGTACATCATGCAAAATGCCAGGCGATGAATCATAAACTGGAATCAAGGTTGCTGGGAGAAATATGAACAAACTCAGATATGCAGATGATACCACTTTAATGGCAGAAAGTGAAGAGGAATTAAAGCACCTCTTGATGAAGGCAAAAGGAGAGAGTGAAAAAGCTGGCTTAAAACTCAACCTTCAAAAAACTAAGATCATAGCATCCAGTCCCATCACTTCATGGCAAACAGATGGGGAAAAAAAGGAAACAGTGACAGACTTTATTTTCTTGGGCTCCAAAATCACTGCAGATGGTGACTGCAGCCATGAAATTAAAAGATGCTTGCTCCTTGGAAGGAAAGGTGAAAGTGAAAGTCTCGCAGTTGTGTTCGGGATTCTTTGAGACCCCATGGACTATACAGTCCATGGAATTCTCCAGGCCAGAATACTGGAGTGGGTAGCCATTCCCTTCTCCAGGGGACCTTCCTGACCCAGGAATCAACCAGGGTCTCCTGCACTGCAGGTGGACTCTTTACCACCTGAGCTACCAGGGAAGCCCTCCTTGGAAGGAAAGCTATCACAAATCTAGACACCGTATTACAAAGCAGAGACATCACTTTGCCGACAAAGGTCTGTATAGTCAAAGTTATGATTCTTCTAGTAGTCATGTCGAATGTGAGAGTTGGATCATAAAGAAGGCTCAGCGCCAAAGAACTGATGCTTTCGAACTGTGGTACTGGAGAAGACTCTTGAGAGTCCCTTGGACAGCCAAGGAGATCAAACCAGTCAATCCTAAAGAAAATCAATCCTGGATATTCACTAGAAGGACTGATGATGAAGCTCCAATACTTTGGCTACCTGATGTGAAGAGCTGACTCATTGGAAAAGACCCTGATGCTGGGAAAGATTGGGGGCAGGAGGAGAAGGGGATGACAGAAGATGAGATGGTTGGATGGCATCACTGACTCAATGGACATGAATCTGAGCAAACTCAAGAAGACAGTGAAGGACAGGGAAGCCTGGTGTGATGCAGTCTATGGAGTTGCAAAGAATCGCAAACCACTTAGTGATGGAACCACCACCACCACCCCTTGGTTGAGTATTCTTCCTTCCAAGATGACCTCACAATATGTACTCTATTGAGTATACATAGCCAATGTTTAAAATTTTATGATTTACTAAACAACACTGATACAACTTTTAAAGTTAGAAGACTACTCAGTGACCTGGCATCTTATCAGGGACTGCTGGGCAGGCATCTGTCCTAATCACACATGGCTGAATGGAGTGAATGGACATTATTCTTTGTGAAGCCAATACCCTAGCTGAGTATTTGCCACCAGCTTTTGGAGGAACTGCTTAGGACTCAAATTCACAGCATGGGACATTTTGCATGTTTGCTTAGATTCACTTCATTTAGATCCACAATCTGTCCCTTTCAAACGATCAAATATGTTTGGTCATTTATAAGTTATTCTTACATATTCAAATGAGCAAAAACTTAGGCTATCTGAAATCAGAAAATTTTAGAGCTGATTAGTACACTGTAGGTCATCCAGTACAATTCTCTGATTTTTATGGCAGGAGCAGCTGAGGCTCAGAGAATGGAAAGACATGCCTAAGGCCATACAAATAACTAGGCCATACAAACAACTAGTAAGAGAGCTGGCTTTCAAGAAAGCACTAGTAACTTCTTAGTCCAGTGTACTTTTCACTATAACAATTGTGCATATCACTCTTAGTAGTAGTATTTTTTGGAGAGGGTGAGGGGAAGAAAGAAAGAAAATGAAACTATAACTGTAAAAATGTATCATATTATTACTCATTACCTCTCGCCAAATGTTATAAGCATAGGTTAAACATTCTCCTACACTTCTCTCTTGACTTCCCAGAGAAGGCGACTGTGAGACACACCTGTTTCAATATTTTTAGATTGCATTGCACCCTTTGCAGAAGCTCTTGCAACCCTGCTCATAATCTGTTACTGCATCCCTACTAAAAGAAACACAGAATTCAGTTAGCTGACCCAAAGGCTGTTCACTCACCATTGAAAAAAATAAAGTAGGGATGGAAGCAGACACGTTGTTTAAATGAGCTGAAAAGAAATCTAGGTCGCTAATAAATCAATGTTGTATATATCAGTAAATTAACTAAATTATATTTTAATAATTAGCTCTGAGAAGCTATAGCACTGCATAAATTACAAAAGTACATGAAAGTTTATTATAATACTTTCAGGTTTCAGGCTGTGAGATCACATTAATAGAGAGACCTGTCATAATGAAGGCCTCCTGGTACTTCTAAAAGTAACTGTGACTGTAGTCTATGAGAGAATTGCATTTTAAAGAATCTTATGTAATGGCATTTAATGATAAGGCAACACCCTGCTCCCACCCCCACATACATACATTTTAACAATACTGTGCTTTAACACAGTAAAGACTTAATCAAAATTTAAAAAGAAAGAAGACTTCACACTTACTGACTACCTACCATCCCAAACACTGTGCTATGCATTTTCATATATTCAATCCTCATAATTCTGGAAAATATTATCATCTAATTTTTACAGATGGAAAAATAAAACTCAAAGAAATTAAATGGCTTATCTAAGATCACATAGTTTATAACACAAAGACCTGAGACCTGAACCCAAGGGTGCCTGAATCTAAAGCCTCGGGACATTCTTATTCCAAGGAGCCAACATTCAAACAAAATTTAGAGTAAAAGCTGCTCTTTAGCTTCCCGGGAACTTCCTTAGCAAATCAACTCACTCACTACTTGTCCCAGACTGTGCTGGGCTTGATTCATCCATCTTCCAACCGTATGTGTGTGTATGTGTGTCTGTGTATGTCTGTGTCTCTGTGTGTGTGTCTGTGTGTTGTATGTGCGCACGCTGAGTCCTGTCCAACTCCTTGCAACCCCAAGGACTGTAGCCCGCCAGGCTCCTCTGTCCATGGATTTTCCAGGCAAGAATACTGGAGCAGGTTGCCATTTCCTACTCCAGGGGATCTTCCCAAACCAGGGATCAAACCAGTGTCTCTTGCGTCTCCTGCACTGGCAGGCGGATTCTTTACCATTGAGCCACCTGGGAAGTCCATCACCAAATAGATACCAGGTGCCTGCTATGTCCCAGGCATTATGCTAGGCAACAGGATACACTCATAAGTGAAGAAACAAGGTCCTCAAGTCCTTTGGCATAGAGAAAAGTGTCACTAAATAAATAGTTATACAAATAACTGTAAAAATGTAACCATGTTAAGAAATAAGATGGATTAGGTTAGTAACTCCAGGTTTGAAATTTAAAGTGGTACACTGTAGTTTAGTGCATCCCTGACTCAGAAGAGAGGATCAAGGAAGGTTTCTCTGTGGAAATGATTACTGAGAAGAGATCTAAGAATAAGTAAAATGACTTAGCTGAAGAAGGTTGTTCTTAATTTAGGGACCACTATGCACAAAGACCCTGTGATGAAGGAAAGTCCTGCCTGCCCATCAGAACACATGAGAGAGAAGCAGCCAGAATATACTGAGGCTGTAGGCCAAATAAAGAACCTTGACTTTTGGTGTAAGAGCAGTGGGAGGCCACCGAATGGTTTTTAGAAGTAAGAGAACATGACCAGATTTACATTTTCTAAAAGTTCACGCTGAAATGGGGAGAATGAACTCAGAGGAGGAAAGAATGGATGCAGGCAGAAGACTGGTTAGGAGGCTACTGAAGTAGTCCTGGTAAGATATGATGGTATGTTAATCCAGAAATATAACAGTGGAAATAAAGAGAAGTAGATGGATTAGAGATTTATTTAGGAGTATAGAAATGGCAGAACTTGGTAACAGTTTCAATATGTGAAGTGAGAGAGGAGAACATTTCAAAGATGACTCAGGACTCTGGCTTTCACAATTAGATGAACACTGAATTTTCAAGGAAAATCAAATTTTGTGGGAGAAAGGGAGAAGAAGTGAAATCATAGGTTCAGTTTGGGGTATGTTAAGTTTGAGATGGTTTTACGATGTGTAAATGGTAGTAAGACAAGTCCAGGGCTCACAGGAGAAGTCTGGATTCAAGACATGAATTTCTGAGTCGTGTAAAATACACAGTGAGTTGTGGGTAAAGATGAAATCATCTGGGGAGAGAAAAGAAGACCTGGGGAGAAAAGGATGGAGGCATGAGGAATTCCAGCATCTAGTGAAAGAGGATGAACCTGAAAAGGAGACTGAGAAAGAATAATCCACTAAGAAAGGGAGAAAACTAGGAGAATGCTATCACGGAAGTCAAAGGGGGAAGGAGTTTTAAGTAGAAGAAAGTCCTAAATAGTGCTGAATAATGCTGAGAGGTGAAGTAAAAGACTTTTTAAAAAAGTCTGCTAGGCTTAATAACATGACAATTATTATTGCTCCCAGAGCTTCAGTGGCACAATTAGAGGGAATGATAGTGGTCTGAATATAAATTACATTAGAGGGCGGACGAATGAATGGTAATATATACTATGGTGGTTATGAAACATTCACCATCCTGAAGAAGATTTTCATTTGAGAAAGGAAAATTTATATAGAGACTACAAAAAATAGACACAATGCCACTAATTAGTTTTACTGATCCTTTAAATGCCATAGAAATTCAGAAAGACAGGCTCAGGGTGACTGGGTAAGCTAGGGAAGTCATCACAGAGCAGGAAAATCTTATGCAGAATATTTTTGAGTGCAAAACTGAATGACTGAAAAGTGCTCTACTGAGGGAAATTATGAGAGGAATACACAGTGTGTGTGTGTGTGTGTGTGCGCTGGAGGAGAGAGGTGGGATAGGGTGGAGTGATAAAAAAAAAGCCAAGAGATACAGACACATTTCTGTGTTTTGTGATGTAAGCTCAACACTGAACAGACAACCTGCAATTGGATAATCCACTCCCTAGCCACTCTCACTTTTTTTGCTGCCTACCTGTGGGCCTATTTGTCTCTCATAACTGATTATACCAGAGGCTTGGTAGGGAGAAGGGAAAATCAGAATCAAAAATCAACTGTGTTGCTTACTGCATTTGGATAATGCTGGCAAAATGTAGGGATGTGTAAAATCAGTGGCTAATGTATACTTTTATATTTGCGACTTCTGAGGTAATGTAATAAAGTGGAGAAGAACACAGACTTCAGAGCCAGAGGGAATCAGGTTTGAATAAGAACTCTACCACTTACTATCCATGGAGCCTTGAGAAATGCAATTGGTCTTTTTGCACCTCACTTTTCTATATGTAAAACTGGAAAAACAATGAGTTTCTTGGCAAGGTTGTTTTGTTATTTGTGACTTAAGAGATGACATGACAGTATTTGCTTCATACTAATTGGTGGCTAATACTGTTTCAGGAATGCTGTAATATGAGTGAAGACAGGAAAGACATTCAAACAGATAACCTTGTATACCTAAGATGAGGCAATTTTATTTATTAGGGGGTCCTGATCTACATTTTCCTACTGGTATTTATCTAAAACCAAGTGCAAAGTACAAGACAGCAAAGTTTGCATTTAGGACCTTTTCTGGGATAAACATATTTGTCTCATAGATTTTTATAATTAATGATATTAAATAACTATTCAATACATATTTAAAAAGTAAAAAATATTCTTATTTTATGTTACTGCCAATTTTGTGAAGGAGAGAAGAAACCAAAAAAAGAGAGAAAAAGGAAAATACCAGAAGTATAAAAGACAACTGCAGTTGAGGGAAAAGAAAGAACAGAGGACAAGAAGAGCTAAAGAGGACAGACAGAGACAAGATGATGGAAGAGAGATGGTCAGAAGAGGACCAACCAAGAGGAGAATGCACCCAGACCTCTTCGCCCCTCCACACCCCTCCCCTCACTACTTCTATTTGATAGTCAAAGTACTCTAAGCTGCCTGCTACACGAAGCTAGCTCTTCCTTTGTCTGATAATGGCACTCCCATCATCTCCCCCTACCGCATGTGGTCTCCTAATCAGTATTTAATTTGATAGGAGACTGGGCATATTGCTATACACTGCTCTAGGGCTCTCAGTAATTTAAAAATACAAACCAAAACGCAACTATATTTGCATCTGCTTAACTGAGGATACCCTACGACAGAAATGAGGGAGTGTGCTTACAGAACACTGAGATCTTCTTTGGAAACACATTTTTAAAGGTGCCTGTGAGAAACATTATCATTTTAAGAGATATAAAGAGTGAACAATATAATTTAAGAAAATATGTCAAAGGATAAATTAAATTAAATCAAGGGGAAAACCTCAGACTCTGAGATGACTAACCCCGATTTATTTAGTGTCTCTACTTACTGTATGCTGAGGGCCATCTTCATTATCCCTCATGTAGAATGGCTTGAGTGCTCGTGGATAATTAATGACAAAGACTGGTATGTCGCCACAGTGCTTCACCAGGTATTTTTCATGCTCAGTGTGTAGATCAGCACCCCACTGTAATGAGAAAAAAGAAATTACCAAAGGAAAGTTAGAGCTGAAACATACAATGCAGGACCTAAAAATAACCTGTATCAGTGCCAAGGGCTTCTTTTCCCTGAGGATCAGGGACGTGTGGAACTGTGTGCTGAGGTTACACAGAGAAACTAGAGAGAGATGTGTGAACAGAACATTCAAAAGCCTGGAAAGATGAAAGCTGGAACTAGTAGATAAACACTGTGCTTTCTGTGCCCCATCTGAGGGAGCAGCATTTAGCAGACAAATAGGAAGACACAGTATGCTTTCCACGGTGCATAAAAGCTGATTCAGAATCGTAATTTTTATTAATATTGGCCAGAGCTTCTTCTATAGTTACTGTTCCTAAGTTTCAGGAAATTAAATGATAAGAGATAATATTTCTAATACTCAGTCTATCTTTGGCTAGCTGGCTTCTCCCAGTGAATTTTTTTTTTTTTTGATAAAAGAGTCAACTAATATATCAGGTGCTCTTTGATGAATATTTAATAACACTGTTCATCTATTTATTCACCAAACACTAATGTGCCTATTAAACTCGAAGTACCATCTAGGTACTAGAAACAGTGGTAAGGAAAACAAAACCCCTAACTTCATGAAGCTTCTAGGGTAGAAGACAAATAAAAAAATTATACAAAGAAATCAATTGATTACAAATATAATAAGCACAGGACACTCATAACTTAAGAGAAAATCTAACCTAACATCTAACATCTAACCTAACTTAACAGAACATCTAACTGGGAATAGAACTGGTATAAGTAGTAGTTTGAAGACAAAGGTATTATATTCTTAACATTATCTTATTAGTCCCACTTGTCTGGCAGTATCTTAATTACAGGAAAGAAGCAGTGGCAGAGAAATGAGGAGACTTGCCTCTAACATTATGTGCATGGTCACTAGATCATGCTGTCTTTCTAGACCGATATCCTTGCCAATAAAAGAAGGGAGTTCCGGGAAAAAGTAAAAACACAAAACTCAGTGTTCTTTAAAGAGGATCACAAATAAGAAGCCTCTATAAAGTTCAAAAGAGAAAGAAATCTGTTTAACGTGTTGCCTAAACTTATTTGATCACATAACCTCTTTTGTCAACTGATAACATCATTCAGAAAATACTTTGAGAAACACTGAACTAGTTGATTGCTACACTGATATTCTATTCTATATACTATGATATTTCTAAGGAATTTCATCTTTAAACTTGGGAAACTTCTCTATAACTGCTTTTGTCACTGCTAGTCCAAATGGTATGATTCTACTTCAAAACAATTTTTCAGTCTATATATGTCGACAAGGTTGGGCAAACATAAAAAAAACCCAATGTACATATATGAAATACTGCATATTGCTAATAAGAGAAATAAGGTTATTTTAAAGGATTCTTAATGAAATCAGATAAATATGAGAAAGAAATTTTCATATATATATCCTACCTCTGGAGTGAAGGTGAAGTTCTGGGATGCCTGCTTTAAGATCTCCACTGCCTCAGTATAAGAAATGCTGGAGAGAAAAGGGGTAAAATCAGAAGAAGGTCTACACAATGGGCTATTGTTAATTAGCGCATCTGAAAACTGTAAAAGGCTTATTTTCATACTGTCTTTCAGATCACACATGAGTATCAAATGATTGCTGGGTTATCAGGAATGATTAGAAAAAATGATTATTGATAATCAGGAATTATGGCTGATTTAATCTTATGAGAGCGTGAGCAGTGTGAAGAGACATGGCCATTCAATAATCACACCCCGATCCACTTGTAGTGTACACAAAGAAGCTAGTCACTCAAGAAAGTAAAGATTTTCTCTGAATTCATGTTACGCTAATACATGAAAAGGTGTGAAATACTGAGACTGAAAGAGGAAAGCTCTCCTGAAAGCTATCATTCATTCACCCAACATATACTGAGCACTTTCCATGTTCTAGGCATCATTCCAGGCACTGGAGATCCAGTAAATAAAAACAAAGACCCTGCCTTTATGCAGTGTATGTGTTTCTGTGTGTAGAAAGATAAATAAACCAAAATAGTAAAATGCCAGGGAGCTACTGGTGCTATGAAATAAACAAAGCAAGACAAAAAGAGGGTGTGTATGTGTGTATAGAAAGATAATAAACAAAAATAATATAACGCCAGGGAGCTACTGGTGCTATGAAGATAAACAAGGTAAAAGGGGGTATTTGGTGTACTATTTTAGATAAGATGGTCAAGAAAGGCCTTGCTGAATTGGTGACATTTGAACAGAATCCTGAATGAAATAAGGAAATGAGCCATATAAATATCTAAGGGAGAGTATTCCAGGCAAAGGGAACAGTGAGTACAAAAACCTGCAGTGAGGAACAGTTTGGCTTATTCAAGGAACAACAACAAAAAAAGCCAATGTGACTACAGCATATTGAATAAGGGGAAGAATGCCAGGAAATTAGATGGGAAAGATAATGAGAGGTCAGATCCTATGAACTCTTTCAGACCATGGTAAAGGATTAATAATATATTCTAGTATTGGAAGATTGTTCAGGAAAAGTACCACTGGTTACCTCAGTAAGAAATCACCATGCCTAAAGCAAGCCAAACTAAAAATTCAACAGTTTGAATAGGTGATATATGCATATGGTTAAAAAAATCTAGATGAATAAAACAGTATACATCTTCATTCCACCCCTTTCAAATAGCTACTTAGTTCCTCTCCTCATACACAATCATTGTTACTGGTTTCCTGTGTACTCTTCCAGAGGGCTTCATGCATCTCTAAGCAAATACTAATACTCAATCTCCCCTTTTTATAGATGGCAGCTGTAGCATAATGCTACAGCATATACATCATACACACTCTTTTAGATCGTTTCTTGCTTAATATATCTTGCAGATATTTACACATCAGTATATGAAGAATTTTACCTTTTGAACTATTACATAACATTTCACTATGTGGATATATCCTATTTAGTCAAACCAGTCATCTACCAATGGGTATTTCAGCTGGTTCCAATATTTTGTTATGGCAAATCATGACCGCATATATCTAATATATGCTTCCCAGACAGCTCAGTTGGTAAAGAATCTGCCTGCAATGCAGGAGACCCTGGTTTGATTCCTGGGTTGGAAAAATCCCCTGGAGAAGGGATAGGCTACCCACTCCAGTATTCTTGAGCTTCCCTTGTGGCTCAGCTGGTAAAGACTCCGCCTGCAATGTGGGAGACCTGAGTTCAATCCCTGGGTTGCGAAGATCCCCTGGAGAAGGGAAAGGCTACCCACTCCAGCATTCTGGCCTGGAGAATTCCATGGACTGTATAGTCCATGGGGTCACAAAAGAGTTGGACACGACTGAGCAACTTTCACTGCACTTCACATGCTCACACAAATTTTGAACATGGGAAAAACAGAATTGTTGAGTTCAAGAGTACTTGGATCTTGGAGTTTTCATAACTTTGAAAGACACTGCCAAAGATACTGTCCATTCCTTTTACAGGATTACACCGATTCATGCCCACAAGCAGTACATGAAGGTGTTTCTCTCTCTCCTCTGCAACAGTATTTTGCATGATTAAAAACAAAAATCTATAAGCTTTCTGAAGACCTTTGAGCTAAAAAAATAACTTACCCAACCCAAACTTATTCTCTGAAGCAAAAACAAAGTTCAAATTTATAACTATCAACTGGAAAGAGCTGTGTCATAAAGTACAAATAGACCTCCCAAAGCTATGTTTTGAGTGATAGGATTTTTAAGATGGAAATTCTACTCAAACGAAAACTGAGTATTAAATAACAGATAATTTCTAAGTTAGAATGGTGTTGGTGTTGATAGTAGTAATGCTTTTTAAATGAGCATTTTATAGGAGGGAAATCGAAGCTTAGAGAGGTTCAGTAATTTGCCAAAAATCACTCACGTAAGTAAGAAGTAAAGCTTGATGTGCTGACTCCAGAGTCTAAGCTTTTAACTCCTGAGATGACGCCTAAACCACTTGCAGTTTCAAATGTTCTATCAAAACAAAACATAATGGGCTCTGGGTTCTCCCTCTGACACTACCACTTACTAGCTTTGTAAATCACTTCATCTCAATGAAGGTATTTTATAAACTGTCATCTTTATTTAAAAAAATATAAAAATACAAACATTAAAAAATTAAGTATTTACACTTATAAAATAAGGACACAGGGCTATATTGTCTTAAATTTTCTTCTGCTTAGATATTCTACTGTTCTGTTCCATCAATTACTTTATATGATCTATTCATTATATTGAGAAATATAAGAGCAGTCAAAAAGGGAAGCACTAGAATCTTGTACCATTGATATATTACAGGTACAATATCAAGAAAAAAAAAAGTCTCTGTGTCTAACTAGCTCTCCTTATTCTAAATGTTCTGCAATACTCTGCCTATACCTTAAATTGAGGCAGAACTTTCAAGTTCAAATTACAGTTCTGACACTGTTAATCCTTAATGGCCTTCAGCAATTCTCTCTACTTTTTCTTGGTTATGCATGCGTGCGTGCTTAGTTTTGTCTGACTCTCTGTGACCCCATGGACTGTAGCCTGCCAGGCTCCTTGGTATGTATAGGGAATAATATTTCTTCTTCCCGGAAACTATTTCCAAAGTGCTTTGAACTCTGAGAATCATGTAATTTACATATTCCCTCTGGTTGTTCTGTCCCCTCTTTGTTTCTTGCTGCTGGGACCTCTCTTATATGCTAATGAAGTCAACAATGCATTTAAGAGGATTTCATAATATTTTAACTAACGTCTTCGTAGGAGGGTTTTCAAGTTATTGAGTTTTTGACATATTGCTTGAGCAGCATTTGGTCATTTCAACAAAATTACTCAAGTTGTCACTTTTGAGATGAGAAAACTGAAGCTTAACCACTCAGAGTTGTTGTGAAGATAAAATCAACTTCAGTATATGTAAAGTTTATCACTGTCTGGTACATAGTAAATATTCAATAAATGGTGGATATTTTCCCTCCATCTAAGATCTTATTCATTAGATAGGAGCTGGATAACTTCTCTCAAGATCTGCCTGATTCTCTGTTACCATTACAGGTTCCTCGAAATGCCCAATTTACTTCTTTCCTTATCTACTTAATTAAAACTTTTATCAATATGCTTATGTCCAGAACTCTCCTGTACACTCCAGATCTGGACACTCAAACTGCCTACCTGACATCTACAAACAGACATCTGAAAGGATCTCAGTCATAACGTGATACCTCATGGGAATGAGCCTGTTTTCTCCCCTCTCCCTCCGCAACCCCTCTGCTACTCCTTCTTCTGTCTCCATTTCCACAGCTGTGCAAGTCAAAGGCCTTCAAGTCACTCTCTTTCTCACTCTCAGCAAATCCTGTTTGCTCTATCTTTAAAACCTATCCTGAATAGGACCATTTCTCTCTCCCTCCTCTGTCACCATCCTGGTCTGTGATGGTTAACTTCATGTGTCAAGTTGGCTGGAATGCAGTAACCAGATATTTGGTCAAAATATTCAGGATATTTCTGAGTAGGTGTTTTTTGGGATGGAGTTAACATTTAAATCAGTGGATACTGACTAAAGAAGATTCCCTCCCTAATAACATCTAGTTTGAAGGCCTTACTAGAGCAAAGAATGGCCTCTTCCAAGAAAGAAGCAATCTGCCCGCAGACTGCCTTTGACTTGCTCTTCCCTGAGTCTCCAGCCTTCTGGACCACTCCAACAGATTTTGAATTTGCCTAGTCTCTACAAATACGTGATCTAATTCCTTAAAAAGTTCTTTTCCCACTTATCCATATAGCTAGTTCTCTTACTTTACTTTCTCAAGATTTTTACTCAAAAATCATCTCAGTGGGATCCTCCCCACCATGCTATCTACCATTTCTATCTCCTCATTCTTCCTTTGTCATATCTTCTATCTCTTTTTCTGTTCTCCCCCCTAAGTATTACTCATTTTCACAGATTATATGTTTCACATTTTTATCTTATTTCTTGGCTATTATTATCTCCACCAGGAATGTAAGCTCAATGAAGGCATGAAGTTTTATCTGCTTTGTTCATTGCTTTAAAAACAGTTTTTAGATGCTAGAACAATGCCTGGCATAAAGTAAATATTCAATACACATTTAAGTAAAGAAAAAATCTCCAAAGCCTTCACTTGTACTTCACTGCCCTTTGCATCTCTACCACAGGGCTCCTGACTCTTCCCTTCTTTGCTATTCCCACATTTGCTGCCTTGTTCTTGGTTCAGGGTCAACAATTCATCACTTTTAACTTGTAGTCTGCAGGTCTAGGTTGCTACCTGATTCTCAGCTCAGTCCAGTGTGCCAAGTTTTTCTTATTTCCCTCCTCAAGGATAGGCCGGACTCTTTATTCTCTTAGAAAAGAAACTTGCTAAACTTAAGATGGCAAGGGAAAAATGATACTAACTACTTTGAGAGACAATCTTTTACTCCTTAGAGCATCAACCTTGCTTCCTTGATAGACTGTAAATACCTTGAATACTAAGTTTTTTAAAATTTGCTTTAATTGGAGGATAATTACTTTATAAGATTGTGATTTTTTTGCCAAACATCAACATGAATAGGCCATAGGTATACATGTGTCCCCCACCATCCTGAATCCCTCTCCCCATCCTATCCCTCTAGGTTGCCCAGAGCACCAGCTTTGGGTGCCAGGCTTCATGCATTGAACTCACACTGGTCATCTATTTTACATATGGTAATGCTGAATACTAAGTTTTATGTAAATTGTTTGTATTAGATATAAGAAGTTATTTGCTGTTTTTGCCATATCAAGTATGTGTTTCATAATAAACTGTAAAAAGAATAGCCTATCTGATTAATATGACTGGTTGACTAAACAACCAGTCCAATATCAAATGCTATATAACAGGATTACAGTGAAAATGAAGCAATAATGTATGTGCAGTATTTATAATATGGATTTTTAGGTTTTAAGAAACTGGCTTAAAAAACAGTTAAGAATATATTTTCAGATTTTAGCAAGCAAAGGCAAAGAAAAAGAAAGAAGATTGAAAAAGAGAAAAACGGAGAGGCAAACATTACATGTATCTTAAAAGCGTATTTTTTAATCAAGCTAGATTTTGATTACTAAAGAATTAGTCTGAATTGCAGTAATACAGCTAATAATTATGCTCATTTATCTTGCTAAGATTTATTCATTTATTTATTCATGCAACACTGATCATCAACTATGAACCAGACACAAGAGCTATAACTATCATTAAAATACAAGTGTTCCTTGAGTCTAGGGAGTATGATAAGCAGATAAACAAACAAAAAGAATTTAATACATAATAAATTATGATAAATACGATGATAAATTATGAATAAAGTTCAGAGAAAGTATAATATCTACTTACATTAGAAAGTTGTTTTTTAGCATATGTTCTAACCTGTCCTTTGTAAAAAAAAGAAAAAAAAAGGAATTTACTAAATGCAATTAGAGTCATTACAGGTAATTAACATAGTGAAGGCTTTATCCACAAAACTAATTACCTTTTGTCCAGGAGCTATGAATTTGTGACAGAGTTCAACATCTTTAGGACAGTTTGAGAGAACTGTCATTGCTGTAGTCTTGAAGAGGCTCTCCATAACCTAAGAGAAATGATACAGAATTGCCTGACATGTAAGTTTCATGAAAAAACCAGCCTAGGGCTCTGCAGGGACTGACTACCCTCCAGGTTTTAGCAACTCGAAAGCCATTAGGCCTCTTACGTCCTGAATATACTGCAGCAAGTTAATTCGGTTTTCAGACTGATTAAAAGAAACATCACAACTTCTTCTCAAGAGTAGGAGGGAAAAAAAGACAGAAAAATGTCTGAAGTTTTTGTTAACAGTTTCAATAGAAGTAATGAAGTGAGCTGTCAAATGAACAACTAAAACAAATTGATGCCTCAATTTCAGTCTACTCGCTTGTAGAACCAGAGCAGTAATGGTACCTATTTTATAGGACTGCTGTGAGAATTAAATGAGATAATACATGCAGAAGACTTAGCTCAGTGCCCAGTCCAGAGTAGCACACAACCAACATCAGTTGTCGTGAAGAGTGGAACATTCTGAAAAGTGCTTCATTCAGTCATTGACAAATGAAAGTAAACTTTAAGATTATAGAAGCAATGAGATCTAGCTTCATCCAAATACATACATTTTTGCTTTGCTAAAGCGTAAAGTAAAAATAATATACATCAAATATGACACAAATCAGTATATAAGGTTTCATTCTACCAGGGATGTCTGTAAGTCTCTCAGGGGAAAAATTTGTTCTTAGAAGAAAAAAGTGACTGGAATGGAAAATATTTCTAAAATATTTTTAATCCAAACTAAAATTCTTGTTTTGAAGTCAATGAGATCATACTGTGATTTCCAAATGTGTCCTCATAAAGAAATACATGCTAAGTCCAGGCTGCCCCACCAGACAGTTGTTTCCCTTTCCTCTCTCAATCACCAGACACCCTATCAATGCTGCAAATACAGTGGGGCTATATAAGTGTGTGAGTAATTTAATTGATCAGCTATAGCAAAGAACTTCATTATCAAGTAACAACTAGTTAGATTTATGTACATATAGAAAATATTTTGGGCTTCCCTGGTGGCTCAGTTGGTAAAGAATTCACCTGCAGTGCGGGAGACCTGGGTTCGATCCCCGGGTTGGGAAGATTCCCTGGAGGAGGGCATGGCAACCTATTCCAGTAATCTTGCCTGGAGAACCCCCATGAACAGAGGAGTCTGGCTGGCTACAGTCCATGGGGTTGCAAACAGTTGGACACGGATGAGCAACTAAACATACACATAAAATATTTTATACTTCTCTTCATATTATTTTATATTACACATGTATTTTATAGAAAAGTAAGGAATAACTTGATGAAAGAAGAGCAAAACGAGGCTAAAGAGGTTTTACTTTGAGGCTATATCACCTTCAATCCAGCAGTGAGATAAAGAAATCACTAAGTAACTAAACGATTTATGAAGGGTTATATCTCTCAATCACTGAAAAAAGCCAATGCATTTTGGCAGGAAAAAACCACGTAAACTGGAGAGTATGCTTACACTATTGAGAGACATAATACACCTATTTGCAAGATAAAGACTTTGCCACTAGGCTGGTAAAACAGTATCTTTGATGAGCAGTATATTTCCATTTGAAGAAGAAAACCACTGGCTCTTCTAACCTTGACTTTCAGACTATGTTTTATGAATATATTCAAGAAAACAGAAACTTAACTGAAGAGTTAACATAATCCTCAGAGGTTTTAAAAAATATATTATTCAATAGCACTGAAATATCAACAGTACTGTTTAAGTGTTTATACTTCATAAGAGGAAAATATCCCTTGTTACAATACTGATTTAATATTTAAGAGACTGCTCTTCATCAAGGTAATAATTTCCACAGAATTCAATTTATCAAAGGGAGAAAATTAAAACAAGCAGAAGATTACTTTGTGAGGAACATATTTTTTTCTTTTATCATTAAGAAAAGGTTTATATTTCAATTAATCAAACTATTCAACAGTGTATATGCCCAGAGTATCACTCAGTGGAGTAGCAAATAATTAGGAATCAGTTACAGAATACATAATTATAGAGCAAAGATGATAATGTTTAATTAATTCTAACATAACCATGTCTATTGTCTTTATGAACTTTCCCTCTGGTTTTATGTTGGGGCAGTGGAGAAATAGGAGGTAAAAGGTGTGGTTCCATTCTCTACAATACTCTCATCACCCGAGCCAAAGAATAATAAAGAATTGGGTGGTAAGCTAAAACTAAAAGGTGATTAAGGAATTTTACTGACTCCATGAGGCTCATATTCTGAATCCCCAAATCTGGAAAGGTGTTACTCAACAGTGTTACTATTAACATTTTTGGCTAGATAATTGTTTGTTGCGGGGGGGAGAGGCTGTGTACTGTCGATGTTGAACAGCATCCTTAGCCTTTACCCCCGAGATGCCCAGCAGCAACCAGTCTTCCCTGCTCCTCCCCCACTCCCGGTTAGGGACAAACAAAAATGTCCCTGGGGAACACTGATCTAGAGAAACCAAGGAGAGACAGTAAAGGAGTGTATGTAATGAGACACTGTGGGGTGTGGTCAGCATACCCCCTCAGGACCAAGATCTTTATCTGCTGGGAATATTAACTGCTGATGGTTCATAGTTGGGTCCTTCTTCAGCAACTGTCCAGACCAAGAGTGTTGTCTTACCCACACAGAGTTACAACTCGTCCCAGGCTACCTCGTGTCCAATGACTGGCTAACGGGGAAGCACTTGCTTTCCCATGGGACAACCATGAAAGGCAATTCTAGCTTCCAAGGTCCTCACAGAATTGGCAATGGCCTCTGTAAACACATTACAGTTCAACTTTTCCTTCTGTTCAGTGGTGCTGTCTTCCTTTCCTTTCCAGATATTTCTCTAGAGAGTATTCCCCAGTACTATCTGCACACAAATCTCTGCTTTAGGGTTTATTTACTAGGAAATCCAACTTAAGATAGGATAATAAAATTGTGACTCCATTCTGTTAAGAGTAAAAGGTAGTATTTCTGTTTTAAGTGGAACTGGGTCATTTACTGGGTAAGTAAGAGTAGAGATGAATAGAAGAATTGATACAAATTTCTAAAATAAACATATTGTAATTAGAAAATCAAACTAACATATTAACAAAATGGTAATGGAGAGAGAATTCATAGTAACAGTTAACAAATTCTGGATACTTACTAAGTATCAGGAACTATCCTAAGTGCCTTACAATATTATCGGCCTAATCCTATGAACTACCCCATGAAGTATGTATTATTATTCCCATTTTTTAGATGAAGAAATTGAGGCTCAGAGAAATTAAGTCCCATGTCTAAGGTCACACACTCAGTAAGTGACAGAGCTAAGAATCAAATCCTGGTGCATCCAATGCCAGAGCTATGTTCTCTCTATGGATTATGGCCACAGCCTCCTGAAAAGTCTCCCATCCTTGTCTTTGTCTCCTTCTAAATCATTCCTCATCATTCATCATTCTTCATCATGCTGCTAGACAGGTATTTCTAAACTGTAACTCTGACCATGGCCTTTCCTCGCTGGGAACTATCTCTCCTTTATCTTTTGTATTAAGTTCAAATCCCTCAGCATGGCATTTAAATACAAACTCTTTCTATCATGATCTGACTCTTGACTATCTCTCCAGCTTCATTCCTGTTCCAGAGTTCTGGCAGCTCCTGTGGATGTGTTCTCATGTTATAGCTATAGACATGTTTCTCTAACTATAAAGATGCTTTGTTTATTTGCTTAGCAAATACCAAAAGCTACTACTTACTAAGCCTGCTTTATGCCAGACCCCATACCTAGTGCTTTACACTATATACAGTCTTTCATCTGTTGCTGCTGCTCTACGTGGTGACTACTAAGTTGTGTGTCTCTGCGACCCCATGGACTATAGCCCGCCAGACTTCTCTTCCTGGATTTCCCAGGCAACAATAATGGAGTGGGTTGCCATTTCCTTCTCTAGGAGATCTGCCCGACCCAGGGATGGAACCCACATCTCCTTCATTGGCAGGCAGATTCTTTACTACTGAGCCACCACTGAAGCCCACTCTTTCATTTACTTCTCACAATAACCTAATAAAATAGCTACTATTTTTCTCATTTTACAGAGCGAATGCTAAAGATCACTATGGTTAGGTAACATAGCAAAGTTAATGGCAGAGTTTGGACATGAACTGAAATCGGTGTGACTCCTGTACTTTAAACTATTACACTAACAGCATTTGGTAGATGTTATTAAATCAAGTAGTTCTCTATCTTCTTCATTCTGTGAACACCTGTAAGGCACAAATGTCTGAGGTAAAAATGTATACAGAAGCATTTTAATGTCACGGATGTCTGATATTTAGAAACTATTTTAAAACTTGAGTACCTACCTGTATGAGATCTTGAAGGTTCTCCAGAAAAGAAATCTCTGCTTCTACCATATAGAACTCTGCCAGGTGCCTCCGGCTCTGAGAATTCTCTGCTCGGAATGTTGGACCAAAGGTAAATACTTGAGTAAAAGCTCTGCAATTCAAGATTAACAGTATAAAAAGAGGATTTACATGATTACATGATTAATTCTAAGTTTTAAAAATATTCAGTGAACACTTAAGGAAAAAAAGTTTTCTGCCTCTGCCTTGTCCACAAATCCATATTAGCTGCTGTATTTCTTTAATGGGTGATAATAATAGTTTCCTTAAAAATGTTACATTTATAGAAACCATTTTATTCCAAAGGAACTTGCAAATGTTTTGCAAACCTTACAGCTTACTAAATATAGACATATAACCACTTCTGGGCGCACTCCACTGCAGCTGCCTTAAACAGCAGACAAGTACATTTCACAGCAATGGAGAACAAAGTCAAAGACAAACACCACAGCCCAAGAAGCCACACAGAGAATCTAGATAGCAACAGTTAAAATCAGAATTTCATGTGGATGAGGCAAGTCAAGCATTTTCTCAATATGTGAAAAAGGAGTATCAGATACGCATGGCAACTTGCCCTGTCAGGCTTACTCAAGTCCTTTATGCCCACTCAAGAGTTTCATTCAGTATTGAATGACCCCTGCCTGACATTTGAGGGGTGGGGTGGATTTTCAAGAACTGTCTATTTTAACTGTGGTTTTCAAGAAGGACTATAACTCAACAACATAAATGGAAAAAAAAATTATTTTTTTCATGTCCTGCAGAGAAGTGGGCATGATACCTTCATTCTTTAATATTTATAGTGTCCTTCATATAAGGTGACAACTGGGACTAGACCAAGTATGTATGAACAAATGAGTATTTCAAGAGGCCATGTACTCTTTGGATGGTAAGGTTTCGTTAGAGCAAAACAAGAGATCTGGGGCTCCTTAGCTGTTACCCTGAACACTCTACATTTGTCTGTCATCAGTCAGATAACATTAAAATCAGAAAATAGTACAGAAAACAGACTGGCTGTAGATATGTATATATCAGGGTTTTTGTTTTGTTTTGTTCTTTAAGATACTCCAGGAGATTAAACAGTAAAACAATAATACCGGAAATAATGAGATTTATTTTTTCTTTCAAAGGCCATTTCAGCTAAGGCCTAATTGGTAAGAAGCTTAGGAATTTATGTTTTGGTTCTACAGCTACCTTCCTGAGACCACGCTCAGTTAACCTCTGAGAATCCTAGTTTTTCACGGAAAAACAAACAGTAAAAACTCAAAATTCCTACGGTAACCTCTCCCAAGATTCAGATCCAGACTTGTCTACTAGAATGTTCCTGAAAACACTGACCCTACCTTGTCCAAAATGAAAACTCCTGTTCCCCAAAACAAATGAAAAATAAAATAGTGAACAATCCTGCTTTTCCTTTTACATTTTCCCCAGTTCTGTTAATCTCAGTTAACCCACCTCATCACCCAAACCAGATCCCCATCCCTCCCTCACTGCCCACACGTTTCCTATCACATAATTCCAACTGTTCACACCTAGGAAAACTCGTGCAAATCTAGAGACTATTCTTCCCCCTCCCAAACACTTGTTTGTTTATTTGGCTGTGCCAGGTCTCAGCTGCAGCACACGGGATCTTCAATCTGATCTTTGTTGTGGCATGCAAGAGCTTTCAGTTGCAGCAGGTGGGATCTAGTTCCCTGACAAGGGATCGAACCTGGGCCTACCAGCATTGGGAGCATGGAGTCCTAGCCACTAGACCACCAGGGTAGCCCCTAGAGACTCTTCTTTATTTCCACAGATACCATCTTAGTGTCATCTCTTGCGTCTGGCTCCTGCCTTTCTTCCACCTGTCCCAAACTGTGGTAAGTTTTCAAGTTCAAATCTGACTATGTATCAGCCCTAATTTAAAAGTCTTCAACGGTTGCCCCCTGCTCAAAGGGTAAAATTCAAACTCCTAACTTGGACCAGACCTTCCTTCCCAAGCCTTTCCTCCAGCACACTGAGGACACTCTCCTTATACGCCCTGCGTGCCTTAAGGCCTTTCCATTGGCTGTCTTGTCTGTAGTGCCCATCCCCTGTTCCTCCCTCTCCAATGGCAAATCTCCATCCATCCTTCAAGACTTAAATGTCACTTTTTCTTACCGTATGTCCCCAAGTTTATTGTTTCCTCCTTTATATGACTAACATTGTGTTTATGTATTTATTATATAAAACGTATCACTTAGAAATATAATTAATGCATTTTGTATCCTTTCCCCTCAAGAAACTGTGAAATTTTCTAGAGTAGAATAATGTTTTATTCATTTTTGCATCTCCAGTGCCTATGATAAAACAGGTGCTCTAGTTGAATGAATGAGCAATGATGATGATGACAGGCTTCCTCAGCTGTGAACTGGAAAAGCACAACATCCTCACAAATAGTAACATTACAAATAATGCACAGAAAAATACTCAGATGTATTTTACTGTGGTTGTCACACAATAACTAAAATGGATCAGAAAATTTAGGTCTGTCCCAACAATAAATTAAAAAATTACAGGGCCATGAGTTTCCAATATATGACTATGCAATCTCTGGGAAGGCTGGCAACAGTATATCTAAATAAATAAAGTGACATTTTTTTCTGCACTGTATCACAAGAAATTGCATATACAGATATGCACTAATGACAAAGGATATTCTACTGAGATTCTCCAGGGCGTAAACAGAAACTCCATGGTACAGGAGAAATTTACTTTGAAGGCTCTAAGAAAGACTTCTAAGAAATGGACAGCTATCATCCTGAAATACAAGGAAGGCCAATGTGATTGCTGTTCAAAAGTGACATATTATATGTATCAAGGTACCAGATACAGAGAAAACAGTGATCTAAAACTACTACAGATTCAAGTCACAAGGGCATCTGCTTCTCACATGGACAGGGAACTCTTAAGATGAGCAGCGTCAGTGATTTTTTAAAAATGGTTAGTGATTTTCTCTTGCAATAAATATAGAGGTGCTTCCGAGGTGGCTCAGTGGTAGAGAATCCACCCGCCAATGCAGGAGACGTGGGTTCTATCCCTGGGTCGGGAAGATCCCCTGGAGAAGGAAATGGCAAACCACTCTAGTATTCTTGCCTGAAGAATCCCATGTACAGAAGAGACTCATGTGCTACATGATTCTTGCAAAAGAGTCAGACACAACTTAGCAACTAAACAACATAAAATATAGAAGAAGATGAGGGATTTTTATTTTGGTAAGGATCAGATTCTAATTGTGGTGCTCAAAAATTAAGTATTTCTCTAATACAGTAAGTAAAAATCAATGGTCATGGTGCTTCCTCTGAATTACCAGAAAGATAAAAAGAGCTGGAATGCATGTTGAAAAATTCCCTAATTTTGCATATAGTCTTTAAGCAGATAAATGTTTAAATAATTCAGTAAAGATCACCCTATGTAAGCATCCAGTGTTTTTTTTATTTATTTATTTTTTAACTGAAGGATAATTGTTTTACAGATTTTTGTTGTTTTCTGTCAAATGCATCCAGTATTTTATAATAAAGTAGCTATAGCAGCAGGAGGAGGAGTGACAGTGGTCACCATTAGCAAGCGCTCCTTTTGGACCAACCATTAGTTGTGAGAACCGTATAGTTAACTCCTTTATCATTAACTAAATATATATTGTTACTTCTATTTTCCAGGCAAAGAAACAGAAGTTCAGAGAGGTTAGGAAACTTCCCCAAAAGTCATTGAGTCATAGCCTAATAAGTGGTGGAGGCCAGATTCAAATCTAGATCTGACTCTTAATGATCATAGCCTTAACTGTGATATTAAATTAATGATGCTCATAACCAAACATGGACAAACCCAGGAAACAGGAGATAAAAGTTTGTAATATGTGCCTGCCCCTGATCCCCTTTCTCAAAGATAGCTAGGGTAAGTGGTTTGGTTTATTGTGAATAGCTTATTTATGTGTTAAAATCATAGCTCTCTAAGATAGGTTGCTGTCATGCAAATAATGAGAAGATAAATTTTAATCAATATTTTGTAACTTTCAGCAGGTCATTCAGTCTTTCTGGTCTTCAAATTCTTACATGAGTGGGAGATAGGAGCAGTTTGGCATTATTCTCTAGTATCTTTTACAATAATTTTGTTTCTAGGTCCCTGTGAAATTGCTATGTTTTAAATTTATCCTGATTTCCTTTTCTTTCTCTATCTTCCACACACATGAAAGTGGTTTGCAGCAAGGCTTGGTCCAAGCAATAGTTAAAATAATATCTGAGAACAAGACCATTTCTAAAATAAGATACAAAACCAGGTGAAAGGCCAGTACTGCTGTGAGAAGAAACTAGCAGAAAAAACACTCAGCACTAAGAATCATTCTTGTGCCAAATTATGGAGAGAGGAAAGCTATATAAGGAAAGTCCATGAGCTTGGAGTTGATATTTAAGATAACAAAAGTACATTCAATACACATCAATTAAGATAGCTACAAAGATGGCTTTTTAAAAATAAAAAGTAAAGTTACCAAAAATAATTTCTACAAAGGTCATTTTCTTCCTTGCATGGAGTTTTATGAAGCTGTAAATTGGCAAGTGGATTATTATAAAATAGTCACTGATTGCTTGGCCATTTATTCCTTCTGGCCCTAAAATTTAAGAGCTAGTCTTTATATTTTGAAAGAAATGAGGAATTACTGTTGTTTTTAGCTGAGGAAGAACTCATCATTTAGCATAAAAGGGATCAGCAACTTTCCCTAAGGCCACCCACTTCAAACCTTCTATCACTGTTCTACTCCATTCAGGAAATGTTCATTGAACTCAAGTGAACTCAAAGACAGCTTTAAACAGGCTTTTAAAACAATATTTGTCAAGTGGTATTCCCATCATCCAGAAAACAATCACCTATTTTACTACTGCTTTGTACCCATTGGGTTAGCAATACTGTGACATACTTGTCATTCACTGCTTCTACATGCCTAACAGAGTGGACACTGGTCACCTCCTTTTCAGCTTTCCCCTTTCCTCTATCTTGCAATAATACACTTGGTGGAACGGTTTATAAAGAGATGGAGCTCTCACCACTTCATTAATTCTTATCAAGACATCTTAACGAGGAGGC